GTCGTTGCTATTTTGATAGGAATTACACTGATGAGGCATGGACTGAGCTGTCTGCACTGAGACCAGGAGGTCGGGCTCTCCCGCCACCCATCCCTTTGGGCTGCCACCTTTCTGACTTCGCTCTGTCTGCAGGATGTGCTTCCTGTGAAAGCGAGCATCGCCATGGCACCAGGCAGGACAGAAAGCGCTAATTTTGTGCCCCCCCATAGTCTCAACAACGGAGAGGCCTGATTCGCTGAACATCACCCCAACCCTATAAACCTGTGAAAACCAAAAAGGCTGTCTTTTCCGTTTTAATCCGTGAAGCATAACACAGATCTTGTCATAAAGGCGCATAAACATGGGTCTGTTAGACCCACGTTCATTCTTTAGAATATTTCTATTGATGAATTATTCATTTCAATTGTATGAGCTTTAGTATATTAAACAATAAGTATTTTTTTGTACCAGGGATTGAACTCAGGTCCTTGCGGTTTGTGAGGCAGGCGGCGGCACCACTAAGCTAAGTCACCAGCCTTAAGTATTGAATTTTTAATATCATTGAGTGTTTATTTAAAAAAATCAAAAATTTTAACATCAACTGGGTTTTGGGGTACAAAGTCTTAAAAAAGAGCAACACAAATAAATACATGAACCACAGTGAAAATACTGATAGCACTTCCCCCCCCCAAAAAAAATCTTTACTTCAACGATCACAGCAAGGGCAGTCTGCACACATGACAACAGCACACTGCACACACACATATCACTTACAGTGACAGCTCATGGGTTTTGCTTTCCTGGCCTTTTAGCAGGACACACTTGACATATTGCTGGTCCTGCTGTCTTGTCAGGAGGTTCTTAGGACATTATACAATGTGAGGTTCATACACTGTGAACATACACTATCAATAAGGCATTAAATTCATAATGTGTATTTTGTGTACGTCAAAGCCATCCCAACATCTCGTGGATAAGTCTTCCTTGATTGTGGTGAATGATCTCTCTGATATTCAGTTTGCTGGTATTTCTTTGATATGCAGTTCGCTAGTCTGGAGTACTCACATCTATGCTCGCCAGGAATTTTGGCCTATAATTTTCTTTCCTGTAGTGTCCTTTCTGACTTTGGTATCAAGGTAATCTTGGGCTCATGGCGTGAATTCGGGCGTACTCCCTCCTCTTCTGTGTTATGAGAACAGCTTGAGAGGGACTTGTATTCATGCACCTTTAAATGTCTGGTAGAATTCAGCAACAAAGAGATCCATTTCTGGATTTTAGCTGAAAGACTTTATTATTGACTCAATCTTATAGCTCATTATTCGTCTGTCCAGATTTTCTGTTTCTTCATAACTCAGTGTGATTATTTGCAGGAGTTCACCCATTTCTTCTGTCATATAGTTTCTTGCTGTACACTTGTTTATATTAATCTCATATGACAGTTTCTCTGATGTATATGCTGCAATACTTCATTTTTTACTTCTGATTTTATTAGTTTAGTCTTTCTTTTTTGGTCACACTAAGGTTTGCCAATTTCACTTCTCTTTTCAAAAAACTTGGTTTTAGCCTGGTGTGGTGGTGCACGCCTATAATCCCAGTACTTGGGAGACTGAGGCAAGAAGGGTTACCTCTAGTTTGAGGCCAGCCTGGGCTACATAGTGAGATCCTGCCTCAAAAAAGTGAAACAGGCCGGGGATTTAGCTCAGTGGTTCCACCACCTGCTTCACAAGTGCAAGGTCCAGAGTTCAATCGCCGGTATAAAAAACAAGCAAACCAAAACAACAACAAAAAATCCTTAGTTTTGTTGATGCTTTCTATTGTTTTTCTAGTCCTTGTTTCATTTATTTTTGCTCTACTCTTTTATCCCTTCCTTCCACTAACTTTGGGCTTATTTTGACCTTGCTTTGGGTGGGGTTCCAGGGATCGAACTCGGGGGCCCTTGTGCTTGTGAGGCAGGCACCAGAACCACTGAGCTAAATCCCCAGCCCAACTTCTTTTTTTTCTTTCCAGTACTGAAGAGTGAACCGAGGGGTTCTCTGCATAACAGCCCCATTCTCTAAACCTCGTACAATAACGCTTTCATCTGGCATCAGAGAATCTGTTCTCCTGGTTTCTGTGTACTTTGTTAGCGCTTCTTCTTCACCTCCTTTCCTAGAGCCTCCTTCCCTTCCGAGTCTAAGTATCGGTCCAGTCTCCTTTCTTGGTCCTCTTGCCTGGAGACACTATTTCTCTCTCACCTTCTTTTAAATTCCCTGAGGTGTTGAACCCGTAAGTTTGTATCTTCAGACCTAACTGCTGTTCTGAACACACACTCATTTAGCATCTCTACTTAGGTGTCTCACAGGGATCTTAGACAGCAGGACCAAAACAGCAAGCCTCCGCCTCAGTCTTTCACAGCTCATGTAATGGCAGCACCATTCACTCAGCTGCTCTGACCCAAACTTAGGGCCACCCTTGATCACTCTGTTTTTGTCCCTTTCCTGTTCTCTTTATATCTAAAATATGTTCCCGACGCACACCTTTTTATACCTCCAATATTATTGTTCACAGCATCATTAGGTTCTATCTGGTGTATTGTAATGACATCCTAATCCTTTCCTTTCTGCAGGTTTATTTCCACTAATAGAGTTAATACTCACAAACAACAGAAACTGGCTACAAGAAGTCCCACCCCCCACCCCGTCTTCTCTCTCTGCCACTCCACCCGGACCTCTCTCCTACTTTCTGCACCTCCTGCCCCTTTCCATACAGGCTGTAGTCTCCGAGCTAGGTAGTGAGATGACCACTGTTTCCCACAGTTCATGTCTCTCTCGCGCGTTATATTTTCTACAGGGCTGAAGGAGAAGAATCCAGCAACCTGAGCTAATGGTCCATCTTAGTCACAGGCGTGTTCTAGCTCTTCGCAGCTTCTCGCAGTCACTAGCGGCCTCATTGATTGAAAGAAAGGGTTCACTAGAAATATTTTAAAATCTGAAATCTCACAAATTACAGGGGGCTGATGTACTGTCAGCAGTGCCGTAGTCACAACCCAGGAAGGAATCTGGAGTGCCTCACGGATTAAAATTGTCTTCATTAATTCAACAAGTATTTGAGCATTTGCCCAGGGTTCTAAGTCAGGCGTGGTGCTACGGGCTAGAGATAAAAATTCAAGAAACTCTCCCTGCCCTCTTGTGGAGAAGAAGAGAAACTGTCTTATAATTATAAAATTGTAAATCGAGATAATTGCTTTAATAGAATTATTTGCAGAGCTATTTCAAGTATGGCTCCTTTTCAAAAGAATGGTTTCACGTGACGATAGCATTTAAGCAAGGAATTTAAAGAACATGTAAGGAGTTTTAAAGAAATAAGAGGGGAAGAAAACAGTGGGACAGAGGAAGAAAATGGCTCAATGAAGCATAGTGTATTCTGGGAAATACAAGTGAATCAGTGTTTCCGGAGCATAAGCTCTGAGAACAGAAGCAGGAAGGAAGGTCAGTGAGTATCCACTACTGAGTTGAGGCTTTCTCCCGTGAGCAGACGCCACCAGTTTTAAATAAAATGTTCAAAACTGGTTAGATTCACCGAAAAATTCAGTAATAAAGATAAGCCATAGTTTAAAAAATAAAAATGAAAGCAAGTATTTATGAACAGGTTCTGTAGGTTTCATAGTTCCATCTGTATTTTTAGAGTTTATAGTTAGATCTATAGTATAGTACAGTATAATATGAAGTATGAGTCATAGTTTTTTTCAGGCATCTGGATCACTAAATATTCTGACACTTCTTCACTCTTTTCTTCATTTTTCCACTGAATGTTTGGGTCTCCTTGTCAAAAGTCAGCTGCCCACATATTTGAAGGTTTATCTCTGGACTCTGTTTCACTGATCTGTTTGTCATCTTTACAGCAATATAACACTTTTTGGGGGCTACTGGGGAATCGAACTTGAGTCCTTGCACTTCCAAGGCAGGTGGCAGAACCACTGAGCTAAATCCCCCGCCCAATATAACACTATCTTGATTATTTTGCCATTATAATAATTCTTGCAATTAGGTAGCATTAAAGCTTCAATTTTGCACGGCATGGTGGTGCATGCCTGTGATCCCAGAATTCGGGAGGCTGAGGCAGGAAGACCACTAGGAGTTTAAGGGCTGCTTGGGCTATACAGTGAGTTCAAGGACAGCCTGAACTACATAACAAGACCCTGTCTCAAAAAACAAAAAGCTTCAATTTTGTTCTTCTTCAATGTTGGTTATTCTAGATCCTTTGCACTTCCATACGAAGTTTAGAATGTGTCTGTCTGTTTGAGACAATGTCTCTCTAAATTGCCCAGCCTGGCCTCGAACTCTTGATCCTTCTGTCTCAGTCAGTCTCTAGAGTAATGGAATTAAGCATGTGCCTCCAGGCCTGCCTGAATCAATTTTTTTTTTTTTTTGGTACCGGATATCGAACTCGGGTCCTGTGCTTGCGAGGCAGGCAGCAGAACCACTGAGCTAAATCCCCAGGCCCCTGAATCAATTTTTTAAAGATCTATAGAAAGGCTATGTGATTTTTATTGGGATAGAATTGAGTCTAAAGGCCAATTTGAGGAATATTCACAGCTTAACAATATATATATATATTTGTGTGTGGGTGTGGGTGTGGTACTGGGGATAAAAATCAATATTAAATCTTGTAATCAATGAATTTCATTTACTAAGTTCTTTAATTTCTCTTAAGTAGCAGTTTGTTTTTACACACGTGTATTTTGTCGTGTTTTCTCCAGACAAAAATCAATTGTTCACAAAGCCAAGAGTTTATTTCTGGAGTCTCGATTCTGTGGCATTAACTTGTATATCTATCCTTATAGCATTATTCCCACTGTGTTGACAATCATAAATTCATCGGAATTTATAAGATGTTAAGAGGGTGTGTGCCAGAGACTCCTGCAGTAAGTCTCTGCCCAGTATGCGACACAAGGTTGAAGAAAAACTTAAGACTGAGTTAAAGAGAAAGTGTGAACTGGGATACTCATCAATCAGGGTAAAAGGTGCAAGATGTGTACTTACCGCGGAAACCCACGGAGGCAAGGCTTGAAGAGGAGAGCGAAAGCATTTTCAGATTAGAAGCGAGACAATATATGGCTGTTATTAGAGCACCGTCCTTCATGCTAAGAAGGCACTAACTGTGCAGATGGGATTTGGGTGTGATTTACTCTGACCTCAGCTACACTATTCTCTCAGATTAGGCTCGCAGCTTCCTGGGCCTGATCTCGGCCGTGGCTGTCAGCAGGGAGGTCACACTGACCTGCGCACCACTGTGAGTCACGTTGCTTCAGTGAGACCGGCTTCCTAAAGTGAGCCAAGGGAGGGATTTAACTCTGCAGCCTGCACTGCTCACAGCGTGTTTTGGTCGTAATCAATACCGTGGGCTCCGGCAGGCGTGTATTCCTCCAACTTTGTCTCTCTTTTTTTTTTTTTTCAATATTGAGTAGGTATTCTGGTTTCTTAGCATTTGCATGTACATCTTAGGACCAACTTGTCAAATTTTTTTTTTTTTGGCGATACAAATCAATTTGAACTTTATTCTGTCATCAGTTTTGACAGCAAAATGAAAGAGAATTGTTAAATAGCACATGTTTTACTGAGCTAACCATATAGTCTTTGAACAATTGTGAGTAAGAATGGAAATCACATTGTGAAGTGAGCTGTAGGAGGGTGTTTCCCCTCCACTTAAAAAAGTTCTTTAAATAAGTTGATTTACTTTTTTTTATTAGTACATTTGCAATACACTGCAATACATGTTTACTTTGCCGTGTGGAGTTGGTACAGGTAAATAATACATTTTAATTCTTTTTTTCATTCCCTTTTCCTCTCTTCTCTCCACTGTCTCTCCATCTCCTGATCCTCTTTCCATTTGAGAAAGACCCATCTTCTTACTTCCTATTAATTGAATTTTATTTCATTCTTTACTTATAATTTGGGCTTCTTATGTAAGAGAAATCATGCAGTATTTAAGCTTGTATGTCTGATTTATTTTACTTGACATTATGGTCTCAAGATTCATCCATTTTCCTACAAAGGATACAAGTTTATCATGCTTTGTGGGGGGGGGTGTTGAGACTGACCTGGAACTCACTATGTAGCCCAGGCTGGTCTCGAACTCACAGCGATCCTCCTGCCTTAGCCTCCTGAGTGCTGGGGTTACAGGCATGCACAGCCTTGTCCCGCTTGGTTTATCATTCTTTATGGCACGGTGCTACTCCATTATGTATAAACACCGCATTTTCCTTATCCATTCATCTATTGAAGAACATATAGGCTACTTCCAAATGCTATTGTGATTTGTGCCATTATAAACATGGGTCTGCAATGTATTACTGTAACATGACATCTTTCACTCTTGGGAAATAAGAATAGCTGGGTTCAACGGAATTTCTGTTTTTAGTTTTTTGATATTAATGGTTTTAGCGTATTGATTCCAAAATGTTTTCTCTATTTTACATTACACCAACAATGTAGAAGGGCTCCTATCCCCTGCAGCCTCACCAGTATTTATTATTGTTTGATTTCTTTTTTCTCTCTTTCTTGTTTTTTTTTGAGATAAGGTCTCACTATGTAGTTCAGGCTGGCTTTGAACCCACAATGTGGTCCAGGCTGGCCTCTAAATTACAGCAATCTTCTTGTCTCAGCCTTCTGAGTGCTAAGATTACAGGCATGCACCACCATGCGTGGCTTATTCTTTGATTTCTTAATGATGGCTCTTCTTTCTGCAGTAAGATTGAGTCTCAGTATTTTAATTTCAATTTCTCTGAGGGGCGCATAAACAGGGGAGTGTCAAACCCACATTTATTCTTTAGAATATTTCTATTGATGAATTATTAATTTAATTTTATGAGTTTTACTATATTAAACAATGAATGCGTAACAGAAAAAAATAACAAAAAGAATTGCATTTTTAATATTTATTCAGTGTTTATAAAAAAGCATTGACATTTTCAACATTGACTGGTTTTTAGTGTACAATATCTAAAAAGAGAACATCAGAAATAAAAACCCATGTGAACTACAATGAAAATACCAATGACACTCTACCAAAAAAAAAAAAATCTTTACTTCAACTATCACACCTAAGGCAGTCTTTTTTTTTTCTTTGAAGGTAATTTATTGAAGTGATGATAATACTGTGTTTGTTACTATGTTATTTTTATTTTAATGTAATATGCATAGATGTTAATAAAGAAAATACAAAAGCAATTCTATGAAAAAGTAATTTTTCATAACAGAAATAGAGAATAAAAATGGTAAATACAGTGTGTATCATGATCTTAAAAGAATATATTTTCACTAGGCCTGGTGGCACACGCCTGTAATCCCAGCACTCAGGGCTGAGGCAGGAGG